CCAGGGTCTGATGGTCAGAGTCCCAGTGATTCAGGATGCACTCGAGAGGAATGCAGGCTGAAGATGGTTGGTTATCCATCAGGAAACAGGTGAAAAAGGCATCCCTTTGTTCCTTTCTCTTTCCAGCAAATACCTGAGGTATGTGAGGGAGATTTAAAAAAAGGTGCTCCCTTATTTCTTCTGACCTTATATCCCCGAGTCCCAGTGACCTTTGCAGGTGCCAACCATGGGTGCAAGTGCGACTTTCACCCGTGAAGCAGGAAGGCATAGCCAGCAGGAATATTCACACTTACCTATTTGCTGTTTAAGCCTCCCGCTGTCGGTAACCTTTGAGTTCCCCAGATTTCATCTATGCCATGGACATGAGCATGACCTCCCTCCATTAGGTGGGAGGGCCTAATTGGCAGGAATTAGTCGTGCTCACCTGCACTGTGCCCTAGACTTCTGCTGTCATCTGCCTCTGGTCCTTTAGAGCTAGCTTTCCTTTCTAGGGCTTCAAAGCAAAGCTTGGGATAAAAAAGCACCTCAGAAGTGTGTATGGATCCATTAAATTAGTCCCAGGTGGCCCTCACCAAATTGCAGCCAGCAACTGGGAGGGCAGCCCCTCTGTTGCTTCCCTATCATAAACAGGTGAAGATGTGGGACCAGGTCCTCCTCAGACAAGGGAGAGAAAGGGAGTTCTCGGAACTGGGGACCTGGCCTAACAAAGTGCCTCCCAAGAGGGAAAATCCAGTAGGAAAGCTCCCTGTATTTGCAGGACTTTATGGACTCCTGACATGGTGGAGGAAAGAGGGAAAAAAAACAACACAAGTGCAGGGGAGAGGAAGGTGCCTGGGGAATCCTCTTGCCTTATGCATGTGGGTTCTTTGAACAGAGGAGAGAAAACTCTCAATTGTTACATCCTCCTTGCTTCTAAGAACAGATAGATACAGCATTGTTTTGATTTACATTCCCGATGACTAAGCCAAGTGCTTATGCTACTCTGTAATATTTTGTATGTGGTTTGCAACAACACCCTTAACATTGTATATAAAGAAGAGGACAGCAGCTGGGTCAGTTGTGAAAGAAAGTGTGATAGGTAAGACTGGGGGTCCTAGTGCCAACACTCTAATGGGTGGTCAGGAACTGTAGTCTGGGAGCCTTTGGAGTTGTAGCCAACATGGAGTTGTAGCCTCAGCTTGATACCCTCAGTTGCCCCAGGGCCTCCCTCCAATCCCATGCAATGGGTAGACCTCCATGAAGGGAAATTGGATTGGAACAAAACCAACATTCCCAACACCCAAGGGTGGCAGGAGATTGACAGTGTCCTCCCCAGCAAGCTGGTCCTGTGTGTCTTAAGTCTGGTAGCCATGCTAATTGCCTTTAACTGGCTGACAGGGGCCCCATATTTTTCTTTCATTTTGGATATTGTGGTGTTTAGGGACTCTGATAAAAGGACAGAAAGCAGCAAGTCTGCTTTTACTCACCCTTCCCAGATGAGCCCCCACAAAATGTCACAGGATCCTTTTCCCATGGAAACCTCTGTGGCTGGTCGTGCCTTTGTCCAACTTTTGCTCAACCTACTGGATTTGTTCCACCCACTCAGCCAAGCAGGCTGCATTCAGCTTACACCACCAGCCCAGATCCCACACTGCCAAGAGCAAGCCAGGCTTGGAGTGGTGAGGGGCATGTAAGTGAGCAAGTGTGGGGTCTGGCCACTGTGCATAGCCAGGCACACCAGCTGCTGTGGCAGGGCAGGCAGCTCCAGGCACCAGCTCCGTGCAAGGCTGTGGCTGGATCAGATATACTGCAAGCAGCTTCTTTTGTGGGCACCTGCATCTGGACAAGGGGAATGCTATGGCACCCAGAAGCTTCGAGACACCAGGAACTGCAGAGCCCCAAAGAGGGTGTTATAGCCCTGGCTCAGGGAGCCCCTATGACTGGGCTCCCCAAAGGGCCACAGCTGTTCTCTCCTTCTTATTGCCCACAATGTGGTGAGTGGGAGGGTGTGTTTCAGTCCAGTTTGTGTTACAGATCTTTCAGTTCTACCATTCAGTGGGTCCTGAGATCTTGTCCCGTGTCCAGGAAGAATGGAGTACATGGTCCACTGCGGAGTGAGCAAGGCAGAGAGGAACTTTATCGAGTGACGGAACAGCTCTCAGGAAACCCAAAGTGGGCAGCTCCTTCCAGCAGGCAGGTTGTCCCAGTGAGTTTCCAGCTCTCAGCAGAGACAAGACCCATAATGGGTAACTGCTTTTCACAGGCAGGTCTGGGCCTGGCTGAGAGTCTGAGCCTGGCTGAGGCTGGGTTTTTTGTTTGTTTGTTTGTTTGTTTGTTTTTGAGGTGGAGTCTCACTCTGTCGCCCAAGCTGGAGTTCAGTGGCATGATCTTGGCTCACTGCAACCTCTGCCTTATGGGTTCCCGCCATTCTCCTGCCTTTGCCTCCCAAGTAGCTGGGACTACAAGTGCCCACCACCATGCCCAGCTAATTTTCTTGTATTTTTAGTAGAGACAGGGTTTCACCGTGTTAGCCAGGATGGTCTCGATCTCCTGACCTCATGATCCACCTGGCTCAGCCTCTCAAAGTACTGGGATTACAGGCGTGAACCACCGTGCCCAGCTGAGGGTAGGGTTTTTATGGGCTCAGAAGGGAAGAGGTGCATGCTGATTGGTCCATGGGTGGCCATGAGCAGGCCTGGAAAAAGCACCATAATTTCTTACTATGGGTCAGACTTCACCCAGATCTGGCAGCCTGGCTCCCAGGCATTAGGTCACCCCTGGCTTGAAGGTGGGGTTTCACTGGGGACCCGCCTCTTCCTGACAAGGAATCTGTCTGCCATTAACAAGCTGCCCATGGCACCCAGGCTGTCCACAGCAAGAGGTGCCCATAGGCCTGTGCCAAGCCACCCTCAGCCCCCACAGCCCTCCTGCTGTGCTTGTTGGTGCCCAAAGTCTGGAGGAGGCCAAGGTAGCAGGTGGTTGGTACATCAGTGCCACCCTGAGCATGTGCACACCTGACTAGATTGTGACAGTGCCCAGGCTGGGCCACAACTTTGCTCCACCATGGAGCAGGCACCAGGAGTGGAGACAGGCCAGGGAGTGGGAGCAGGCACTTTCAAGCCTGCCAGGGAAGGGGGCCTCCTGGGCTCCTGAGAGTGCAGGGATGTTGGGGTCTGGAGCCACGGCTGGGCTATTGCAGCTGCACCTGGGAGCACGGGCTCCTGCCCTGTCAACTTGGTAGGGGGAGAAGTTCTTATCTGATCCCACTGGCTTTGCACAGCACATAGTACCAGCCACACCTTCCCTGCTGCAGCCGGCATCCTCAAAGTGGCCACTCCAGATGGGCTGTCATTGCCCTCACAAGTATAATTTATCTTTCAATGGAATTGGCTATTTGCTGGAAAATATTGTAATAAGAAGCAGAGAAAAGACTGTCCACAGCTTCAATTTGGGTTTATTGTCCTTCCTGTGGCCTGAACATCTTGTGTTCCCAAAGTTCACGTATTGAAGCCCTAATGCCCAGTGGGGTGTTATCCAGAGGTGGCACCTTTTGAAGGTAATCAGGTTTAGATAAGGTCCTGGTGTGGAGCTACAATGGGACTCTTGGTATGTGGGAATGAAGGGACCAGTGTTCTCTCTCACTCTTCACTGACTGAAGGATACAGCAAGAAAGCGTCTGTCTGTAAACCAGGAAGAGGGGTCTCACCAAGAACAGAAATGGCCAGTACCTTGATCTAAATTTTCCATCCTCCAGAACAGTGAGAATTTATTTCAAAATTTTGTGCATAAGCCAAATCTAAGTCAACCAGTCCCTCTCATCCCTCTGACTGGCCACATTGATTAGTTCAGTCATGGTCATATGACCTAACTTTGTCCATGAAGATTTAGCCCAGGAATTGCTTTTTGTTGGTTGAAATGAGAGATACCTGTCAGGCTACATGCTAACAGGGAAATGTTTGACTCCAGCTGCTTCGTTAGCCATCCTCTGATCATAAGGAGAGATGGCAGAAGATGAAATTAATGCCCTGCCTGAAAGCAAGGATGAAAGAAATAAGGAAACTAGGTCTCTGGGAATGTCATTGAGCCACTGGATCAGAATCACCTGACAGCTGCTCTGTCTTTGGACTTTTGTGGTCCACTGAATTCCCTTAATTATGTAAGGCAGCTTGAGTTGCATTTTTCTGTTACTTGCAACCAAAGCATCTTAACAAATAAATATATTTCAAGGTTCTAATATTAGGTGAAGAAAAATTCATGACTCATAATGTCTTAATTAATTAAACATTTTTCAAAAAATCTTATTCTTTGTCCTAGTTAATTAGCACTTTAGTCCCTAAATTTTTTTTTTTCTAAATACTAACATGACCAAGTCTACTTTCTTTTGCTGGTATTTGCATACCTATCTTTTTCTAGGCTTTTCAATGTAAATTTGTCGTTTTCTTCTATGTATATCTCTTAGGACAGGATATGGCCTTGTTAATCACCTTTTATGTCTTATAAGTTCTTAACTAATTGAAGACAGGTACAAGAAATCAGATAATAGAGCCAAGAACATATTGCAACAGAAGTAGATTCGTGGTTGCCTTGGGCTGGGGGTGTTGGAGGGGTGAGAAAATAGGGAGGGTGAGAATGGGAAGTGATGGCAAGGGGCTATAGAGTTCATCATTCATTTTGAGTAATACAAATGTTCTAAAATTGATTGTGGTGATTGATGCACAGTTCTGTGAATATGCTAAAAGCCATTGAGTTGTACACTTTCAATGGGTGAATTGTATGGTGTGTGAATTATGTCTTGAAGCTGTGAAAAAAGAAGATATTGAATACATAAAACAAGAATAGGATGTTATGGAAAAGAAGCAATTATAAAGCCAGAAAATAACTCTTGTAAATTTGAAGTATTATTGTCAAAATGTGTGTGTGCATCTGTGTGTGTCTGTGTGTGTGTGTGTATATATATATATATTTAAACATCTTATGTTGCATTTTTTTCTGTTACTTGCAATATTAATAGTAGTATTTGAAAAAAATACATATACACATTTATTTGTCTACACACATGTGTGCACATATATCTATGTCTATATGTACAATAAAATTTCCCACAGTATGGGACAACAAGGTAAAAAGGTTTTTAAAAATGAGAGAAAAGATAAGAAAGCAAGAAAATCAATCCATGAGGTTGAAATATCTAATAGACTCAAAAATAGAAGACAGAGAGAAAGGGACAGAAATAGTAAAATAATAATATAATAATAGGAGACAATTTCCCAGAACTGAAGCACCTGGGTCTTCAGTTTGAAGGGAACTCAAATGCCCAGCATAGTGAATAAAAGAAGGCCCATGGGACATCAGCACAAAATTCCAGAATATCAAGAATAGTGGAAATATCCTACAAGCTTCCAAAATAGGCGGATGTAGGGAAGGAACATTTTGGCATCAGCTGCCTCATCAGGTACTCCAGCTGCCAGAAGAAAGTGGAGGACTGCCTCCAAATTTCTAGGGGAAAGGAATTTTGAACCTAGACATCTAGGACAAGCCAGCGTTTAAAGGCAAATAGATCTTTTCAGATCTGAAAGGACTCAAGGTTGACCTTGCACACATTTCGAGAAGTTATTTGGGATTTCTCTCCACCAAAAAGGGGATACACCTTGGGGAAGGGCTCCAAGAAGAAAGTGAGTCCATCCTAGGAGGATAAGGAGTAGCAGTCCTTGGGTGACAGCCAAACAGCAGTTAGAGAGTAACTGATCCAAAGAGAAGGAGGGAATTGTCCAGGAACAAACCAGAGACTGTAGAGCAGCCTCTTCTCATCAGTGGGGGCAGTTTGCCCAGTGGAGCCTATCCTCAGCTGATTTCCAGGGTCTGCAAGGGTGACTTTCCAGCAGGCTGCCTTCCCAACACCCAGCCCTCAAGGGCAGATGGTGGAGAAATAACCCACAGACACATAACTACCCAGCTGGAGGATCTTGACCAAGTCCAGGAGCAGAAGAATGAAGGAAGAAGCAGAAGAAAGGAGGTGAGCAGGTATATCAGTTAGCTGTTGCTGTGTGACAAAACACCCCAAGGTTCAGTAGCTTCAAATAACAACCGTGTAGTACTGCTCATGAGTCTGTGGGCTGGCAGGATGCTTCTGATCATCTGAACCAGACTCAGCAGGGCTCACTCGGGTATCAGCTACACATCAGCATCTGGGATGGCTCCACTGCTGCTGAGTGGTGTCTTTCATCCTGCAGCAGGCTAGCCCAGAGATCTGAAAGGAAGAGGAAGCATGCCACAACTGTTACGGCCTAGCCTTACAACCTGAACCCCCTTACTTCTGCCATGTTCTGTATACCAAAGTTAGTCACAGGCCAGCTCAGATCCAAGGGGTGAGAAATACACTCCGCATCTCATCTTCACGGGAGTTACTGCATAGTCACCGGGCTGAGGACACAGATGCAAGGAGGGCTGCAAAACCACAGCCCCACTGTTGTAACCAACCTACTATGGGGATGGAGAGTAAGGATTTTTTAAAGGTAGCAAAACGTTACTTCTCCTACCATGTGGGATCTCTTTTCTTTCCTTTATTTTGGTCAAGACAGAGTCTCACTCTGTTGTCCAGTCTAGAGTGCAGTGATGCAATCATAACTCACTGGTGCCTCAAACTCCTGGGCTCAAGCAATTTTCCTACCTCAGCCTTCCAAGTAGATAGAACTACAGGTACATGCTACTGCACCTGTCTGATTCTTTTTTTGTAGAGACAGGGTCTCAATATGTTGCCTAGGCTGGTCTAGAACTCCTGGCCTCAAGCCATCCTTCTGTCTCAGCCTCCCAAAGCACTAGGATTACAAGCATGAGCCACTGCACCCAGCCAGATCTTTTTTCCTCTGTGACCAAGGCAGAAATGGACCATTTCCCAGATGAGAAATCTAGACCTTCTGTGCAGTGCAGACATTGCCGTGTTCATTTCCTTATATTCCACATATAACGAAGTCTTGGGGTGGTCCCAGGCTGGAATTCAGTACATGGCTGGAGCAGAGCATTGGAGGGGAGACTCTCCCACTGTAGCACATGGTGGCAGCCTAGGGCTCCAACTAAGGCTGTCAAGAGAAGGAAGAGCTAGTCCCCCACCCACGCCTGCTTCTTTGCTGAAGTTGATCTTTCCAGAAACCAAGCATGGAGGTTCTGAGGGTAATGAAAGTGCCTGCTCAGGCGGAAACTTAGAATTATGCCAGCTGCTCCCTCGTCTGCAAATGGAGACCTTAAGTCACCTTGGAACAGACTCGCCTTATTATCTCTGGAATCTCCTTAAGTTGTATAAATGCAAGGCAGGCCGGCACTGCTTTTTTTTTTTTTTTGAGAAAGGGTGCAGATTGATCCTCGCTTTCTCTGACTTGGAAATGTCTGTCCTTCCAAAGAATCCTTAATATACAATGCCGGGGGGCGGGGGGGGGGGGGGGGGGGCAAATTCACCCAAGGGCCAAGAGCCTGCCAGCAAAAAGGGATTTGGGACTTTGTTCCCTTCTTTTATTGTAGCCAGAGAGGTCCCCTGTGGGAAGGGTGGCGAGGCCCCAGAGGGTACCTCTCTGCGAGAGGACAAAGTCTGGCTGGCGGTGGCCTAAGCAGCCATGCAGCCTCGGGTTCTTACACAGGTTGTGGCAGAGGCTCAGGCCCTGTGAGCAACCAGGCATTCAAAGAGCTGTCGGTTTACAGCCTCCGGGAAACACCTGCCTCTGGGGTTCTTGAACAACTTGTGCGGCCGGGAAGCTTGCACGCTCAAGATGCAGGATGCCTGTCAATCGGAGCAAGCGGGCGGACGAAAGGAAACCATGCGGCAGGAGATGGGCCCCTCTGTGTGCGCGACTGGTCTCGGCCCTTTGCTCGGATCCTAGCACTCAGGACAGCTGGCCTCACGCGGAGGTCCTCTGGTTGGCCTCTGCCTCTCCGACTCCCCCACCCCTTAGAACTAAGGCCTCTGGCACTGCTCTCCACAACCCCACCGTCCTCTCTCTGCACCGCCCCCACCCCATCTCAGGGCACAGGACCTGGCATCAGTAGAGGATTCTTGCGCGAATTCGGTGCACGTTGAAGCATCCTGCAGAACCCATTTCCACTTTCTGCTGCGTAGGCCGGCAGGGACGCGCTCTTCCTCGCTGGCCAGGCAGGCAGTTCCTTGGGCTGGACGCAGGTACCTCCCCGCCGGGCTTCTCAGAGCGCCTGGTCGCAGCATGCACTTCTGAAGGCTGCCGCGAGGTGGCACTGCGGCTTCTTGGGAAACACAATGTGAGGTCTCCTTTCAGAGGGTCCTGCCTGGGATGTCCACTGACCCGCGCAAGCGACGGGGACGGGGCACGTGCCTCCCGGGCGCTGTCAGTCGGCCACCCACAGGGACCCAGCACAACCAGGGCCGGCCAGTCCTGCCCAGAGTGGTTCCCAGGGGAGCTGTGTTCCAGCTCAGTGCCTCTACCTCCGGGTCTTGATTTCCTCTTAAAATAAGGATGACACAGATTACGAGGGAATGAATAAGAACACACGCTATGAACTCTAAAGCCGGGCAGAAATGCCTGTTGTGAATGTAGGGATGAAGAGGGAGAGGCGAACCCAACGCTGCTCTTAAGGAATGTCCGGGGGGCACTACTAAGACTAACCATACCAGCCCAAGGCAGGCTGAGGCTTGGGAACTGTGAGAGGCTCCGAAGGCATCCTCCTAAAAGGAACATAGAAACTAACAAAGCTAAGCGCTTTGGAGCTGGAACTCGTTGAAGCCTCACATCTGTCTCTGATTCTCTACCTTAATTATCCCCATTTTACAGACGAGGAAACTGAGGCCCAGGGAAGCTGTGACCTGGGGGAGCCCTCATGTTAGTGAATGGGCAGGAGGGATGCAGAACTGTAAGTGGGGAGAGACACTGGAGGGAGATGGGATGGAGTGAGAGAGGGCAGGAAGGTGAGAAGGATGCCTGCAGGAGGGAAGGGGGGCAGCATGGGGCTCCTCGGCAGCCCACAGCTCCTTCCCTTCTCCTCCCAGGAACTCCATCATGGCCCCATAAAACTGGGGCTGCACACTGGCCTCTCAGATTTGGTTCCTACTCACTTGCAGAAACCACTTCACCTATAAGAATGTATTTTGTTCCTCCACAGCAGAGGTATTGTCTGCTGGTAAAAGATGCGGAGTTATAGTTATTGGGGGTGCAACTGGTTTCTGCAAGTTCTGATATCTGGAGACAGATCAGAAACTGGGAGTCACTGGGAGCTGAGTAACTAGATTATTCCACTCCATGTGGTTTCAATTATACATTTATTTATCTCACAGCATTATTTGTGCTTCTCATCCTTCAACCATGATGTGTGGAGCAGCTGAGAATTTTCCGAGAGGAGATCTGAGTGTGCTGCTTCCTGCCTGTCTTCCTCCTTTTTTAATGAATACAAGAATTAGTGGCTAAATAAAATCGACCCACAGGATAGATGCATACGACTGCTTCATGAATTGACAGATGACAGCAACGGGCAGCAAGCCTGAAAAACCTATCACACAGGCTCAGAGCACCTCTTTTGTCAAGTTATGATGAAGAACATCTATAGGCTCAGGAAAGAAAACTCAGCAGCCAGGGAATGCGGATGAATTTCTTAGGTCTGGCAGACAAGATGTTTATGTCACACACAGGACTGAAATTCTAAGCCGCAAAGATATCAAGGCTGGGCTTGGAGGAAGATCTGGAGTTTTCTTCATTTACAAAGTCTGTGAATCCTGGATTATCCTGCACTTATCCAAGACGCAGGAAAGCAAAAGACACAAGGTTTTTCTTATGAAAAGCAGAACAAGGAAGACTTGGGAGTCCAAGTGAGGTTCCAAGACCCAGCCTGCAGGTGTAAGGCTAGGGCTGGAAGTTGTTGCCCATCCCACGAAGACTTTCAGGCCAACCCAGTGTATCCACGCTCAGTCTCTCAATGGCTCAGCAAGGTCAACTATGAGCACTCAACACTCTCCATGGAACCACCCAGGACAGACTTGCTCCACAGCCCTCCACACTCACTTGTGTCCGTGTTGGTTCTTCACCAAGGCTGTGTCTCTCCTTTTCAGTTATGTCTGCGCCTTGGATTGGCTGATTTATCTTATTTTCTTGGCTCAATGCTTGGTACAGTCAAGGGATTTTGACACCTCCTGGCTTTATCCCTGCTTCCTTGCTCCCTGCCACCAGGTAGGACACCTCAGCCTAGCTTTGCCTCTCAAGTACCCAGCAGCTAATCCCTAATGGGGCCCAACAAAGCAAGCCATAAAGGAAGGTTCAACAGGTTACAATTTTGAAGCAGTGGGAAGGGGTGCCCAGTACAGAGAAGAGAGACAAGGGTGGACAGGAAGAGGCGTGTCAGGACCAGAAGCTGCCACTCTTCTTCCCTGACGTAGCTAAAGAGAACACCTTTGATCAGTTGCCACTTGAGCAAATCCGCAAGATGATTTGAGAATCTAAGCATAAGTTATTAGAAGGTCTTTGCACTAAATACTGACATTATGAAAGAGAGACACCCAATTCAATCAACAATAAAAAGTGTACCTGGGGAATCAGATTTAATAGAGAAACAGAACAGAAATTTTGAATGATTAATGAGTTCAGAGAGGTGTCCAATAATATTTCCTTCAAAAAAAAAAAAGGCTGAGCATGGTGGCTCACACCTGTAATCCTAACACTTTGGGAGGTCAAGATGGGAGGACTACTTGAACTCAGGAGTTCCAAACTAGCCTGGGCAACATAGCGAGCCACTGTCTCTATTTTTTTTTAAAGGTATTAAATGCTTGATTGCCAAATTAGGAAAAACAATCTCAATAGATGTGCTGATAAATTGACTGAATATAGCTGAAAATGAAATCGACAATCTGAAGATGATAACTGAAGAATTATCCCAGAGCATGACATAAAAGTACGAAGAAATACAAAGGATGAAATAAAAAGAGATGTGGAAGATAAAGACATTGCAATAGCCACCAAATAAGAGTCTAGAAAGAATAGAGAGAAAGGAGGGGAGGAAATTTTCCAAGAAATAATACAGAAAATTGTCTCCGACCTGAAGAAATGCACCAATGTCAAGATTGCCAGGGCCCCTCCAGAGAGTAATGTGATAATAGAACAATAGCTTCAAAGTTCTCAGTGGAAATCAGTTAGAACCTATAATTATATGTTTCACCTATTCTAAAGCTATCATTCATTGTGGGGGCAAAGTAAAGACATTTTCAGGCATGAAAGAAGCCAAACATTTTACTTTGTGTAAATGTTTGTGCCACAGGTGCTTTCTAAAATAAATAAATAATAGAAGATGCACTCCGGCGAAGAAAAATGGAGACCTGCAACAGAAATGCAGTGCAAGAAGCAGTGGTGATCAAATAAAACAGTAAAAGCCATTTTTGAAGAGTAAAAAAATGTTGATTGTTTAAAATAAGAAATTTAAAATAACACTGTGGGTACGCTATTTGGAAAAGTGACAGTGTCATAAAATATTCCTGGGTATGTATCCAAAGGGAATGCATAGATATCTGTACCCAAATGATAGATACTAGAATATTCTTAGCAGCATTATTCACACACCCCTAAACTGGCACCAACACAGATGTCCATCAATAGTAGAAGAGATAACCTGTGAAATAGTCATAGAATGGAATATTATACAACACAAGAAAAGTACTACTGCTGTATGCCTTGGTGTGGATGAGTCTCAGAGGCATAGGGCCGAGCAAAAGAAGCCAGACAGAAAGGAATGGATACAACAGTTTCATGTAGATAAAGCTGAGAAGCAGGACACATGGATTTATGGTGATGGAAATGAGAATTGCAGTTTACCTTTGGTAGGGAAGGGACTGAAGGAGACGTGGGCAGGCTTCTGGAGCACCGGCAGTGCTCTGCATCATGGGTGTGTGCACCTTGGAAACACATTTAGAGCTGTAGACTTAAGACCTGGGCATGCTACTGTATGTTTGTTATACTTTAAAATAAAATAATCATGGAACAAAAAATCTGGGGAAGTGGTAAAATGCAGCAGAGGGAAGTAAAAGTGTGGTGTTTGACTTACTGTGGGAGTAACATAACTACAGACAGTGTTTTAAATATAATTTTAATTACACATTTTTAAAGGGTTAAAATAACAAACTTTGTATGACAAAATGTAAGAAAAAGAGGAAAGAGACGACTAAAAAGCATTGTAAATAGAAGACAAAAAATGGTATAAACAATTATACTATCACACATCACAATAGATGTGAATGGGTTAAACTCGTTATTTAAAAGAAAAAACTCTGGCTGTATAAAAATACAAACTCCATCTGTATGCTCTTTAAGTGAAACACAACTAAAAGAAACAATCCAGCAAAAATGTAATGGAAGAAATGGAAATGATAATAAAAACAAAGAAAGATGATAATATTCAAATGAAATGGAATTCAAGGTCAAATCATTTAATAAGAAAAAGAGAGGGATATGTCATATTGAAAAAAATGAACAATATTTAGGTAACAAATACTAATCCTTTTTTGTTGCACTTAAATCTTAGCTTCAAAATACGAAGGGCAGAAATCTGACAGCATTACGAGTGGAAAAACCTAGATCCTCAATACCTTGGTAGGTGGTTTTCACAAAACTCTCACAGAACAGAAATAAATAAAAAGAGGATTTAAAAAATTAATGAGCTTAATCTAATCTCTCTCTCTCTCTCTCTCTCTCTCACACACACACACACACACACACACTCACACACATACCCCTACCTTTCTGCTCAACTAAGAGAGATGACATATTCCTTTAATCACAAATGGAATATTCTGAAAACACTGAGCATGCACAAGGCCAGAAAGGAAATCTTAATAAATTCTGGAAAGCTGCTACTATTTAGGTCGTATTCTCTGATTGAAATGCAATAAAACTAGAAGTTAACCAAAACATTTTAATAGCTCTTAAAGGGAAACTTTAAAAATATAATGCACAAATTACATCTGAATATAAATAGTTCAGGACCACCATATCACTAAATCTGTTTTGAAGCCAAAACAGTACTCAAAGGGAAAAAATGTGGTTTACATCCATTTATTAAAAAACAAAAAAGGGCTGGTCATGGTGGCTCACGCCTACAATCCCAGCACTTTGAGAGGCCAAGGCATGTGGATCTCCTGAGGTCAGGAGTTCAAGACCAGTCTGGCTAA